AAAATGCAAACATGTCCACTCTCTCTTGGCTGAGATTAGAGGTGGCATAGGCATTGAACCTGACCATTAGGGTACTATAGTGGTAATATGATGCTTTGATCCCTGGAAGCCCATAAAGTTTTATATCTAGTGTTCCAGCAGCACTGCCTGACTAGTGTACAGGTAGAGACTGCTTAGAGTTAAGAGTGGTCTAGCTTTTCTTGCATATAGAGAAGGTAATGGTTCAATTAGTTGTTGTAGGTTAAAACAATATATGTAGATACACCAGATTCATGATATGCTTCTTGACTCTGCAAACTTAGACATTATCCAATGTTTATCAATTCATAAGAAATGAACTTTTATTAAGATAAAGGGCACTTATATATGGCAACTGCATATGCTTTGATCTCACTCATCTTTTTATGGTATGTTTGAGCCTAGGTTAGGACTCAAGGTAGGAGTGATTTCACTGGATATGGATTGCTGCATAGTATGCAGTGCCTAATGAAAAATGATGAAAATATATGGTAGGTTTTAATGCATCAGTACTAACCTCTAAGATTACTTCCAGGTCTTGTAGACCTTGCTATTCTCCCAGACTCAAGTGGTATTAGGTTAGGGTTTCCTTAGCTGCAACAAAACTGTTCACAGCCTGGGCTACTGTATGTCCATAGTAGTAAGACACTGGCCTACCTGATGAAGCATTTGAAGTCAATTAAGTATAATGAATGTTGAATTCCAACAAGTATTTGCATCAGATAGGAGTTTAACAGTTAAAAGCTTGATGATACCATAGTCATTTTTGAAAAATTTCTCTTGATTGCCAATGGTGATGCTCTATTGGAAGCCCTTGTATTGTTATCATGATAAGCAGAACATCTCCATAAGAGCTCTGCTCTGCTTGACAGGATTGAATGTCAAAGCTGTGGCATACTCCTCTCTCTTCATAGTGGAACTGCCACTTTGCCACTAGGAAGGCACACTTGAAAGGTTTACCTTAGGTCAAATACAATGCTGCATTCCTGCAGTTAGTTAGAGAGATGCCCCATAGAGGTCACATTGTTAGGAGCACCATCAAGAGTAAAATGACTGATCTAAACCAACTCAGAGCATACTGCACAATAGACTAAATTGACCTACCTTGTAGATTATATTAGTGTAATTCAACAGATATGATATAATAACTAAGTCAAGTGATGCTCCATTATAGGAGCCAAGGATGTGATGGAATATAGTAAGAGCTGATTTCAATACCAATATCAAACCCCTATCTTCTTTTGCTATCTAGTATGGAGTGATGACAAAGAAAGAGCAGAGGTCAGACATAAAGGAAATTTTCCCTTAGGCTTTCTGAAAAGATGTAGGATACATGGTAGAATCAGAAGTTGTAAGCTTACTGCAAGATCTTTCTTTAAGACCTTGAAATATCCTTGCTAAGCTTAAGATATCAACTTGCGCAGCTTCAATTGGTGAGTATGTGAAATCCTTTAGGCATTGCTAAGTGACTTGAGCATACAAGCTGGATGTTGGAGCCTTTTGATTAACATTTTGATTGTCCAGCCAGAATCCATACACTATTATAGAATCTTGAGCCCAGTTTGAAATTTGCATCATTGTACCTCAGTGATATAAAAGAGGATGTGATGTTTATGTATATGTGAATAGAGTTCTCTGGGCTTGGTTCCTGGCTGAAATATGACAAAAACATGTGATTGATTTTTCTCATATATCTTGCTGATGAAGAATGTAAGAAGGAAATAATGGCCCAAACATTTTACTCACTGGTAAGCTGTACAATGGAACCAGCCATCTGGCTTGAAAAAAAATAAAACATCTCCAACTGCTGCTTCCTCTGAGTCCTGTGACCAGGTGATTAGGTTGGGCAGAATTGATAACACACTTAGGAGTCTAAAGGGAGTTTGAAACTTTAGGTGCACTAACTACTGGCACAAGCAGGTTGTTGCTGTCTTCTTCTTCATCCTATTGACATCATTGACCTCATTGATGTCTACAATTGATTGAGTACTTGGCCCAGCTTTGGGAGCTATGAACATCTGACTTGGAGTGTCTGTTACACATTTGTAGCAAGCAAAGGGGGCAGCTGCAATCTGGGATACACCATTATTCTATATATGTTGGTGAATTAGCTCCCAAGGTATGCCAAGGTTATCAGAGAGAAACAAATTCACCCAAATTAACACTGTCATTCATGGTAAATTTGCAGGGTAAATTAGCTGGGCAATGAAAGTCATGTCGTCACGGTTATGTAGATACGGCTTTATGCTTATAAAATTTGAAAATAATTAGTTGTGGCACCACCCTGAGTGATACCATTGGTGTCAATTTGAGGGTAAACCTTAAATGGGGGTGTTATGTACTAGCATATATAGTACAAGCCAATGTATCCCTATGTATTAGTGGTGAACCGGCTTTCCTTCTGTAATGAGTGATCAAATCACAGCTGAACCACCGTCAATGTCTGCAAAGTTACACAAAAACAACATGTCTTTAGATGATCTTAGGGACGATCCTAACAAGTCAAAGATAGAAAAACAGCAGTCCTCATCAAACTCTTCCAGTGTTCCATCATGAAAGATGTGACCCTTAAATCAATTCCTGTCACCATTAGAGGCAGGACCAATTCCACAGTGCCTAAACAAATCAAAACCTGCATCAGCAATGACACTGTATCAACAGTCATTGTGGTGTCAGTGCAACCTCCTGCTCTCTGCTAGTCACTACAAATGAGACGTCTGTTTACCCCCATGAACACTATCCACACTTGAGAGTTCATTGGTGATATATTGCAGAACATCACATTCAGTTGTTGTGGGTGGAATACCATCCATAGTCTTGTGATGGATATGCTTGATGTTGTTTAATGTTTTGTAGATGTCTGGTAGAGTTCAAAATGTAATAAGAAACCAGAAGTTCAAAGGAAGCTCATTTATGTAGGTTGCATCATCATCTGATTCACCAGCCAGGATTTGAAGGAGATGTTGTCATATGCTACTATCACCACTCTCATTCAACACTTTGATAACAATCAAAATAGGTCCCACTATCACCTGCAACAGCTTTGATGCTAACCTTACAATCAACTGTTTTCACTGCTGCATGATGTTGGGGATACTCATGAGTAAATTGTCATGATCCATGGTCCAAGATAATGATAACTCCTGCTACAAGAAGCAGTTCCTGTTGTCAGCAAAACTCATCCAGAAACTCATCAGGTTTGCTTGTTTCCACTATTCCTTGACCTTCACATATAATATCTCTGCAGTCATCTGACCTCCCACCACAGGCCAGTTAACCTAGTGAGGAATCTTTTGCCTTGCTTTACAGCAGGGCCAAAGGTCTTTTCACTTAGTGTCAGATGCTCCAACCTCTCCCAACTGGATCCTTCCTTGGCTGATATAAAACATGTGGGTAGTGTCTTCGGTCAGTGGATATTGCAGTATCACCCAAAGCAGGACTCTGAGCAGCCCATGATACCAGAAGAAATAACCAAAAATCTTTTAAACATAAACACTAACCATTGGCCTAAGGATCGTAAGGTCATAGGCTCAAGGTGGGTGTTCAAAGTCAAGTGCAATGCTGATGGCTCCATTGAGCACTACAAGGGACGCCTTGTGGCCAAGGGCTATAATCAGTGCCCTGGCTTTGACTATCTCTCTCCTAGTGTCAGTACTCACTTGACATCCTCGAGTGCTTTGGTATGGCTGATTGCAAGCCTGTCACCACTCCTATGGAGCCAAACCTTCATCTCTCTCACTCTCAATCGCCTTAGACCACTGAGGAGGTGTTTTTCATGCGTGGTGTACCCTATCTTGCTGCTATTGGCACTCTGATATATCTACCACCACCACTTGTCCTGACATTGCCTACACTGTTGGCGTTCTTGCCAGGTTCAACTCCAACCCAGGCATAGCCCACTGGCAGGCTGTCAAACACCTCCTTTGCTACATCAAGGGCTCCATTGACCAAGGGCTTGTCTATAAGCCCAACCCTCACTCCACTGGGTTGTTTTCCACCTTCTCTGATGCTGATCATGGTGGTTGCAAGGACACTGGGCGCTCTACTGGCGGTTATATCGTCAAGATAGGTACTGGTGTGGTCTCCTGGAGCTCCAAGCTCCAGGAAGTCATCACTCTGTCCACTACTGAGGCAGAGTACATTGCTGCAGTTGAGGCAGGTAAGGAGATCAAGTGGATGCGCAAACTGCTGTTGGAAATGGGCTTCCTAGTGGGCGCTTTGTCTGTCCTTAGGATAGACAACCAGTCCACTATCTCTGTAGCCAAGCACCCAGAGCATCATGGACACATGAAGCAACTGGACCTATGATTCTACTGGCTGTGCAATGAGGTGGACAGATAGGTAATCTCCCCCACCTTTGTCCCCACTGCAGAGCAACCTGCAGATATCCTGACCAAGGCCCTGCCTCAAGTCAAGGTAGACTTGTTCTGTCAAATGATGGAACTTGTCCGCTTAGGGGGGAGCTCTTGATTGTGAGAGGTGCACAATCAGGGGGGGTGTTAGTTATATGATTATTCAGCTCTACAGTACACTTTCCTATGCGTTTTATCTTTATATACTTATGGTATCATTCCTCACATTTCTCTGACTATTTACATGACTTCCTGACCTCCCTAGGACATCCCTAGGTCGAGTTATTCCTTACCTTTGGATTTTGGCGTGTCTGTTTATATTTGTTTACCAAACATTGCCCATATGCTAGAGTCCAGTGCTCCCTGCCTCTTTGGCAACTTACTCTGAACTCTAGGTACTGTATACTCTTACTATACTCCAATACATTAGCAACTTACTCTGGACTCTAGTCCTGATCATATCTGGTTACTTATTAGCCTCTAGAAGCGGCCCACTTCATTCCCATCTTCACACAAATATCCTAAATGAGAGGTATTGCAAGGTCCATCATGGACAGCTTGCAAATCAGGAAGCAAAAAGCAAAAAGGAAGGAGAAATGAAAATTGATGGGTGACAGTTTGCCATGATTCCTTTCCGGTGATGAGTTCTACAAGAAAGTTGTTGAATTTGAATGTGAGCAGAAGAAGCACATTGCTGAGAAGAAGACGAGAAAAGAAGCACCCAAGAAGAGATCCAAAGGACTGGCAGTGCGGAAACATCTAGAAGATGAGTACAAGACAGAGAACAAGGTCGAAAGAGCACAGTACCATACTGCTTTGAAGAAGTGGAACAAGGATAAGTTAAAGGCAAAGGCAGAGGGGCGGACATCCAGTGAGGCAAAACCAGTCTTGAGAAAGTTGCGTGGCTCTATTCCAAGGCCAGCACTGAATGTGGCATGTAAGGATGTAGCATCTAGTAGCGGCAAAAGCTTTGATCTTGATGGCATTTCAGATGCCAGTGATGAAGACCAGTCAATGGACACTCACCCTCATAGACCCAACATGTCGAGGCAGCCGGCAGGTCAGCAGTGGCAGTCGAGAATCTTTGTATGTGCACTGTGTTAGTATTAGTGTCAATTGAAGAATATTGAGATACATTACCTTCTGAAACTTGCCAGTTGACATGATAATATTGTAGGGAATGAGCTTGGTGCATACTGGACCATTAACACTATCAATGGACTTAAGCTTGACTCCTTCACTCCCTTGTCATTCAATTTGAAGATGCCAGAAATGCATGTGTCATCTGCTGTGGCATTAGGGGACAAAGGTGACAAAGCCTTCCTGGTATTGTCCCAAAGCACCAGCAACGAATCTACTGTGATTAGCCAGTAGTAATTTTTGCAAAAGTTTATGTGATGATATTGACAGTAATATATCTGATGACGACCACCATCCTTGCAGCAGAATTCGAAGGTGCATCTGTTAAAATGAGAATGAAGTGGGCCGCTTCTAGAGGCTAATAAGTAACCAGATATGATCAGGACTAGAGTCCAGAGTAAGTTGCCAAAGAGGCAGGGAGCACTGGACTCTAGCATATGGGCGATGTTTGATAAACAAATATAAACAGACAAGCTATAATCCAAAGGTAAGGAATAACTCGACCTAGAGATGTCCTAGGGAGGTCAGGAAGTCATGTAAATAGTCAGAGAAATGTGAGGAATGATACCGTAAGTATATAGAGATAAAACACATAGGAAAGCATACTGTAGAAGTGAATAATCATATAACTAACAGGTTATGCAGTGCCATTCAAAACTAAATGTTGTCATATACCATATATCCGGTTACAGATCCGATGATCTGGATCTCAGATCCGATCCAGATCCGATGAACATATCCATCGTCCGGTCCACAGATCCGCTTTGATTCTTATTTCATTTCCTGTTCATATAACTCTAACTATCGTTCATCTCCTTTCGGTATTCCTGTACACCGGTATACCGGTTATCCTTTACTTCCGCTTTGCTTACTGATCCGCTATGCTTACTGATCCGCTACACTTACAAATCCACTTTTACTTGTACTTCATTCCCGGTTCATGATTCGTGATCCATCCAACTTACCAATACGCTCCACTTAGACTTTGCTTATACTTTCGTACATAGCCTCGCACCTTTGCTTATTGATCATTCCATTAGCTATCCGTAGTATATAAACCTTTGTATATGCGCTGTAGTAGATCAGTTCGAATATCATCTTAGATTGCACTCATTCCGTCTGGACTCTGAGTCCCTCCGTTATCCATCCAGACTTGAGTACGCTACTCTTGTCTACTCCGAGACTTAGGATAGATTCCTATAGTCTACATATCCGCCTCTGTCTTCGGACAGTCCTCACCCGTTAGTTTCTAGTCCGGATCTGATCCGGATTGGCCGTTACTCTATACGTTCGATATCCGGAAGTCTTAACGGATCCATTGCAATACTTATCTGTTTCACTAGACGCGATACTTTAGCTCTCTGAAATAAGGGGCAAGACTCGGGAAAGGGGCACAGCGCACGAGCTGAGGCCGAAGCCCTTCGGATCCGATACTACTTGAGTACGGTCTTAACAAATGTGCATGTTAATGCAGTCATCTGAGTCTTGTATCTTTATCATGGTGACGCCACAACCTTTTTGCTCATGGATGCTCTATGGAACAAGCAATCAATTCTTAAAAATGATTATGGTATTATTTTACAGGAGGACATCAGCTCCTAGCTCATTAACAATACAGTATCTACAGATATCCTCTATGCACTGATCAGTCAAGGAAAAAAAGGAAAGGCCATAGCCTACTACCTGCTATCTAGCCTCACTGCAGAGCAGATGTAAAGAAAGAAGATGTTCATACTGCCTATACAAATAGAGATGTAAAGAGAGGAAAAAGTACAAATACCTTCTATATAAATTGAATGTCCTCATCCTTAGAAAACAGTTTATGGCTGATGGCAATTGAATATATGCATTTTTTAACTGAAAGGATCTGAATGATGTAGTAAGTATTGGAAAATTTAAAAGAAGAATTGGAAGAGCAAAGACAATATGAGCTGGATGAACTCCTTGAAATAGGCTTCAAACTTATTCAACAAGATGGGCAGTAGGTTTCTTTGGCAGTAATTTATTTTCCAACAGGACCCTTATGCTTGTAATTTACCATAAAGGCTACATCATAGCAATGCTAGCTAGGCAGCCAAAGTCAACATCTGATTCATATATTAAAGACAAAAAATCCATAGCAAAGTCATAGAGTAAATAACCTCTCTATTCAAGGCCTGCTACACTCTTATCATAGGACTTTCCAAAGGGAAGGTTTTTTAAAAGACCTCTACTATGCCTCAATGACAGGAGTTTCCTATGATAGAGAATAGTAGATGAGTGTGATGCTCAATTTTGAATTTTATTGAAGCCTAGAGCATGTCAGCATCTCCCAAGCCTTGCCATACTCCAAATCTATTAACTAGCTGTAAAATCAATTTTGGAATGTGAGGGAATGAACAGAATAGTAGACTTTAATGAGGTAGGCTGATTGAATTGACCACTCTGATAGATGCTAATAGGTTCCCAGCTACTTTCCAATTATTTTCTCTCAAGATTCACAGAATCTCTCAGAACTACTTAGACAGGCTCCACACAGAATGCCAACATCAGAAGAGACTGTAACAAAGTAGTAAAATACCTGCTTGTACTTCTAATTTGGGTCTAGGCACCACCACCTACATCCACAAGGATACTACAAACCTTGTCTGAGGTTGGTGTTTTGTTATAGCCCTCATTCACTTTAATCATGTAACAGGGGAATTGTTAAGACCATACTCAAGTAGTATCAAATCCGAAGGGCTTCGGCCTCAGCTCGTGCGCTGTGCCCCTTTCCCGAGTCTTGCCCCTTATTTCAGAGTGCTAGAGTATCGCATCTAGTGAGACGGATAAGTATCGTAACAGATCCATATTGAACACTCAAATGTGAGTGCCAGCCAGTGCTGGCAGTGCTGACTGGGCTACTCATTGACTGGTCTTGCTCAAATTCCAGCATATCTGCTATGTGATGCTGAGTCAAAGAGTGCAAGGATGCAGTCTATGCAAAACATTACCCAAAAATCTGTCAGAGCACCCAGGCCCAAGAGCACCTGTTACAATGGAAGACCTATTCAAGGAACAGAACATCAGAGTGATGCAGGGTCTGGATTCTGGGACATGCATACATGGCTCGGGCATGATCTATCCATACATAAAAAATGTCTAAGAAGCAGGTACTACATGACCTACCTGCTTTTTGGCTCGCACATCGTCCATATTCAATAGAGTTACCCAAATCTGCCAAGTCGGAAACGAAGGAGCTGCCTGCCTCATTGAATATAGGTGATGTGTGACAGCTGCACAGGCTGCTCGTCCCAGCTTGCACTCCATCTGCTGCATTCTCAACTTGGTCTTATCATGCTTTGTCGCATTTTTCATCACTTTGTCAGCTAAGCTATAGTGTTTTGTTTTTTATTCTTATGGCACCTATTATAATATGTATAACTGGCATGCTCAGCCCATACTCAGAAGTTACTCTTTTGTAGATCAGTATGTTTAGTTGATGGTAAAAGGATCCAAAGTTGAGATTCTTCCATGAGAGATGGGCCACTGAAGATGGGCCCAAGTGGACATATAGGTTGATAGTGATGGGTGGGTCTGTAATGATTATAATGTCTGGATATTAATGGCAGGGCCCATAGTTGACAACTGACAATAGAATAATTACATGGTTGGACTCATAAGATATGTTATAAATGAGATGTCTAGGCCTAGGGTGATTAGATGTAAGATGACAACTGGACCAAGGGTTATTGTTTGGAATCTTGGTAGGTACAGATGGGCCTAGTTTGTAAAACTACATTGTATAGGATAGGAATCTTGGTAGATATGGATGGGCCCAGTTTGTAAAACAACATAGTATAGGATAGAAATCTTGGTAGATACAGATGGGCCAGTATCAAATCTCCTACTAAGGCTAATTACTCCAACCAGAAGTAGCTTGAATAGGTTGGATATAGTCACCGAATGACACTAGGTTCAGTAGAATTACCTCTAGAAATAATTGCCTTTCAAATCACAGCTTACGCAACTATTACCTGCTAGGGTACACACCAGGGTGTATCTTTAACAACAGTACCTCAATCTCTTGACACATTGAAGCAGAGTAGGATGCAGAGTTACTGAATCACTGGATACTTGGTCACTTTCTACTTTTGATTGGAGGTAGTGGGGCTTCTTATAGATTATAGCCATATAAAACTACTATCCTGATAATGTCCTTCATTTTTACCTTGGGTTCTTGATGATGTGAGTTATGGTTTATTAACAGCAATTAGACAGGTTTTAAGGCTACTGTGAACATTACTAACACTGCTGCTTTTATGATTGTCCAAGGTTTCATTAAACATCTGACAGATAGTTTTTATCAGATAGCAGATAAGAGTGTTCTGATATTCTGAAAGTCCTTCCTGTCTGGTACCAACAGGGCCCTTCTAAACTTTAAGATTTTTATAGTGTCTTTTAATGGCCATAGCACCTATAATTATATCAAATAAATCAGGCATTTCAAGTTATAATCAGCCTGGATACTCTGGATAAGGTGACCCTCTATGCACTATCTAACTCTTCCTTTTATATCTTGAATGTATAAGCTAGTTACTTTTAAAGAGGCTAGATTTCAATTATGCTATATAATATATATTCTACTATTTGGAATATTGTGACCTTCTATTGGTAGTACTCCACCTTCTATATGATATTAAGCTGAAATGGCTGGTCATGCTGTAGTACTAGTTTGTTGATCTATACTCACAACTTTACACTACCATTTATCTCCTACAGATTATTTAAGTGCCAAATAATTGATCAACAGAATCTGACTATAATCAGCTAAACTCATGTTATAAAGCAGATGCAACAGGTTGCTTAAAACAGATATGACGTGTTATCTGCAATCATAGATAGTGCTGTCTAATGATGTATACTATGAACATTAACTGGAGCTAAGTATTTTATCTTATATTCTTCATACTCAGGAGATCAACTATCCTCTTCTTCTCTATTATTATTATATCAGCTCCATTTCTCTAACTTTGCTAAAGTTTGCTCTACTTTCTACTTAGTGTTCTATACCTCAAAAATTAATCATATTGCTTTTTTTATTCTTTCCACTCACCTTGCAAATATCAAGGTCTTGTTCACAGCTATGAAAATCTCTACTTCATATAGCACAACTGGATGTAGAATATAGAAAAGGTTGATGCAATAAAGAAAGAACAATAAATTACAACTTTGTGCAGCTATGATCCTCCACATACTTTAAAACCTCTTTACATAATTCTCAATACCCTGTTCTTTTATCCTCCTCAGGTTGTCTTAACAACATCAAAGTTACATTTTGCAAGTAAATATTTGGTATCCAACATAGGAACAAGTTGGCATTTAATGAACACAGTGAAAGGAATGTGGTACTAACATGCCTGATCAGAGCTACTAATGTGTCCCATTGATTTATATACCCTGCAGTTCCATGTCTCTGCTCATTGTGACTTAGTAGAGCCTGCAACCAAGTTGAACTGGCACAGTGAATAGACATGTGGAACCTACAGCACTTTTCATGATAATAAGAGTTGTAGGAGACAGATGCAATGTAGAGTTCACTTAATTAAAATCTTCTAGGGATAATTCAGATGCCCACTACCTTTGTTTCAGCCTGTAGCAGGGACCTTAGCCTGCATGCCTTGATTTGGAAGTGTGGGTTTAATGTTAGTTCTTGTTATTATGTTTTATTTATATCCATGGTGGACTATATAAAACTAGCTTTTCACCTTGTAAAGTAAGTGCTTTGTATTGTACTTGTTTGGTTATTGACATTTGCGCATCATCAAAGACAAAAACATCCTATATGCTTATATAGATAAAGAAACAGGTATGAAATTTGGATAGTTTTGTCACTGAAAATGAGACTGTCAGTCATGTGGCAAGAATTGTAGCACTTTCATGGAAGATTCACATTTTATGCATATCCAATCCTATTGACTATCCAATCTTCATAAAGGTAGTGATAAAGATATTACTCTATCTTTTAGAAAATTTTCCCAGTGTAAAAGAACACTATCTAGCCTTCCATACAAGTACATTTTAATAACTTAATTACTAAGGATATCTAAAGAGCATATCTTCTCTTCTTTAGTGCATTTCAGATGCCATCCAGAGAGTCTGCTTGAGATCATCTGGTTTCATTTGCAATTAAAGGTTCTCCTCCTCCTATAGAATCTAAAGGTTAACACTGACAATGCAAGTCCAACCACAGTTGTTTCTTTTGTCTTCCCAATGGGTCCAAAAATCTCTCTTGACCTCACTAATCCAAAATGGAACAGTCTAAGAGCCTTTGTCTGTCCTTACAACAATATGTCTCTTCATGGCATTGCTTGCTTCCTAAGCTTTTTCTTTCGGATCTAAATATTTTGCTTAAACGATTCGGGTCCCAAAAACTTTAAACTTGCAGGTCAAGTCTAATTCAATTCCCAAAACTGTATTTTGAAGGGTGAGTGCACAGTGATTGATTAATTAGTGTGTCTTACCTCACTTTAGAAATATATTTTTTCATGATGCTACTGACTTTAATTGATGGCCACTGACCCTGACTCCAACTTCAAAGCTCTATATATCCTTTCATGCAAAGCATTATGTAGCTTTTCCTTGACTCTCTGTGTGCAGTCTCAATGCAGCCTAACAACGATCATATGTTTTTGTGAGCCTGCCTTATGTTGTGTATTGCTCATCTTTGTATATCACCCAATGTGTTGCCAGGTCCAATGATGACTTTGATTTGGATGATGAGGTCAACCAGGACATTATTGACACTAATCCATTCAACCTTAACAATGTTTCTGTCGTTCAGGAGGTGGATGCTGATGATGCTGTTCCTTAGGAAGCTATTTTTATACCAGGAAGGCTCGCAAGGCAATGGTCCCACCTGGGAGCAAACAGTGGTCACCATGCTCAACCTCTCCAGTCTCAAGAGGATGTTTCATGTCAATGACCACTCCTCCACTATAAAGCTCCTTCATCGTCATGTTAACATCACTCTTGACCCTGACCTCAAGCTGCACAGTGATAATCCCAAACTTTTGTGGAAAGGATTGAAGCATTTTCTTGACTTCATTCTCATCATCTCTGCCAACATTAGTCTGCTTGCTTTTCTCCCCAAAACCCTTGCTGAGCACAATGATGGCCATTGGTGAGGGTCAGTTGACACAGTTGTGGTTGGGCTTCTGCCCCGTTGGTGACATTGAAGATATTGACCTCGCCAATGACAGTCCTCTTCTCAGCGAGAAAGTAAGAAGCATGGCAATACTCATTTAACTTCTGTGCATTATTGCATGGGAGTGATGTTCCTCACTGCCCATCTCAGTCAGATTCCTTCAATGTCCATCCATGTCATGTATCCATATGGACCTTACTCAGACTTCCAGGAGTGGAAGATCCAAGATGCAACAAATGTCCTGCATATATATTCCACCTTATTTTATTTTCTTGCATCCTGCATGTAGATTCATACCTGGATGGGTGCACAATATCAACTTTGATGTTGTGTCAGACCCAGCTCTGGATGGTTGTCCTTGTCTTGTATTGATTATTATTGTAATCACCCTCGCTAATGTTTTGCTTTCTCCATGTTGTTGTCTTGATCAGTGACCAGTGTATGATCACTTTGTGCTTGGAGGACATTGTGCTGCTGAACCAAATGATGAAGATTCAATATGATGATTTATTGCCAATGCACCCCCATCTTGGTTGGAGGATGGTTGGCTTCAACAGCACATGCCTGTATCTGTCACCTGTTGTTATGAGCAGAACCAGCCTATCGCCAGTTCTGACCAACATGCTCTTCATGTGGAGGCATGAAACTGAAACCATAAATGTGATTATAGTCACATTTGTTACTTGTTCATGGCTGTTGCCACCCATATCTTGTACATCTTTCTCTCTGATCTCCCGGGTCTGCCCAACAGCTGATCTCCCTTGTTTTATTTAATTTGACTCAGTTGTGAGATCGTAAGAGGCTGGATTGAGGTTCCAACAAATGACATCTTTTCTGTCCATGAAGTCATGTACAACTCACCTGATCCTAATGTCAGAGAGCCTGTGGACCTTCTTTCCCTTCCTCTCTGTGAACCTGAAACACGTAAGAAGATCAACATCTATCATGAGGAGGGTCGCTCATTCCTCATTTGATTGGTAAGAATCACGCCAATGCTCCACAATGCAGTATTCTTGTCAACATCAAGATGATTCCTCAACTGTTCTCTTTGTATGTTGCTCATGATGAGCACTTGGATATGGACATAAACATTCTGGACCTTGATGATGAGCAGGCTGCCAAGATAAAGGTGTATCCCCAAGCTTTTTTGCACAAGTATGGCCACCTGCAGTCTGATTCCACCTTGTCTGGAGCCTATGCCTGAGGTGCAGGGAAGCATGTTCATAGTGGGATCATGCACAACTGTTACCTCTGTCTCCCACATGAACACTATAATAATTCCATCAAGGCTGATAACATGCCATGCGGCCTGTGCCTTGAAAATATCTATATTTTGCAGCTAGACTTCATAGATCCTACAAAGAGAAATGGAATGTGAGTTATTGGTCACATTTTCACTGACCATCTGTGTCCTGACCATCATCTCTCTTCTCCAGGTCCATTTATCTTGACGTCATCGTCCCCCTTGCTCGTATATGGTCTCATCCACATGTCCGTGATACTTTGCATCCTCACTTGGCTATCTTTGTCCCTCACATGAGCGTATAAGTTCTTGGCTTCTTGTCATTATAGATACATATAAACCAATTGCATCTACAATGCCCATTCCAGTGTTAGATTTGGATGGGCCTGTTTATACACAGATCCATTGTCATTGTGATTTACTTATGTCAAGTCTGGTCCCATCTAGAGTTGATTCTGGATGTGGTGTCTCAGTTCATTTATGCTCGTGCTCACCCTATGTTGTCCACAGGCTTTCCCCCAGATATACCAGTGAATGACATTTGACATTACATCTCTTCTCAAACACATTTGGGAGCACTAGCAGCCCCTTCTTAAATTAAATAAGAAGCCATCACCCTAAATGATAGAGATATGCACGATGCTGGGGAAAGCCTTGGCGTATGCACATACTGGTAATGCTAAGGTATTGTCATCTAGTTTGGTGACATCATTATGGCTCATCAGGAGTCTTCTGCAGCAAGGTTGGCTAACTATGACTCCCACTTTTCATCTAATGGCCACCACCACAATACCTGTCTCTGTCAGTCCTGCAGATTGGCCTATCGTAACTCATACCAACCTCCCTGCTATCTCTTCAAAATGCTCTCAGATCATCACCTATGGCGAAGATCATTTTGAGCTGAGTTTAGTCTACTTTTTTTTTTTTTTTTTTTTCATCACTCACTCATCTCGATCACTCCTTGTCTTGGTTATGGACCAGGCTTATAAAGCAGAATTTCACATACAGCTTTCCGTCTGCAACCTGAACCCCACTGCATACATGCAATATGACCAAGAACTTCACCATGTCATCATCATAGCTGTCGTCACTTTTTAATCCTTCATTGGTGATGTCAAGACCCTTGTTTTTGTCGCAGTTACTAAGCTATGCGCCAATCTAGATGACCAGGACACCCATAATTCCATTCTGGAAGCCAAGATACACTACCTTAATCTTAAGAAGTAGATGGCTTGCCAGCATCCTCTCAGCTATCGAGAGAGAGCCTTTGAATATCTTATCCAGTCCATTGTGGCAGACACCTCTGACTACAGCTTGGGACTTCCTAATCCCCCAAAGGAAAAGCTTTCCATACATGCCTTTGCAAAGCTCCTCATCAACACATCCTGCCTGATAGATCCTATACCTATTGCAGCTCCTCTCATCTCCACTGCCTCCTCTCCAATGGTCTTTTGAGTCACCCTCATCTACATGTTCAAGTTCATTTCTCACGATTCTCCTAACGCTGCCAGTCAGTTTTTGCAAAATGCTTTCATAATCGCAGCCAATCATCTGCAAATTAATAATATCCCATGGCATGTGGCAGGTTGGGGATGTCACCCTCGTAAGCCTCACTTTGAATCATGGATTAATCTTGGCAAAGCAGCTTAACTTTGTTCCACTAAAACACACAGCTCTCATATTGCCAATGGTGTGGCTGAAGCATCCCAATAAGCGCAAGCCTCTGACACCCATGTGGCTTGGGCTGCTTGCTCTATTACTCTCCAATCATTGCCCAACTATTTTTCTTGCACTGTGCCCCCAGATGAGTTCTGCATGGACTCTATTGCCTTTGACGTGTCTGAGCTGCAGATATCCATCATTCATGAAATGTATCAGTGGGTCTTTTCTGAGTCCAACATATCTAAACCCCTTCATCAAGTCACTCTCTTAGTGGGCATATATATCAGCAAATTGATCCTGGATCTATTTTACAATCTGGAAGATCATCCAGACCATGAGAGATACACCACCATGTTTGCTTTTATGAAGGCCATCAGGGAGATGTCATGGATCCCAAACAACAATGGTGGATGCAAAGTGTGCAAGGTTGCAGCTCAGTTTGTCATGATGGTGTCAGTATATATCATTTCTCTCTTCGATAACAGCAGCCCACTTCACATTCATTTCAATGCCCGCAAGTCCTTCCCCACTGCATGGAACAAGAAGCATAGTAATAAAGGCATAGGTCTCTTCTGCTGATTTGTTTGGGCCTGGCCAAGCCTCATAACGGACACATCTGGAAAGGTGGGCTCTTCAAGAGCAATTGGTCCCTCCTGAACTGAGATGAAGTTGCCAAATTTCATCAGAACATTATGTTCATGCTCTCTGATTGACAATTTGGACCTTACTGTTACAGTCTATGTACGCTCCTATTCATTTTCTCTTCTCACATTGTATTACATCAATCTTACTAGGTTTCACCTGGAACTTCCTTTGCTTGAGATCTCCAATTTTAAGTCGTCAGAATCTGATTCAAGTCAAGGACACTCTCCTTGCCTTGTCTTACGAACTCCTGCATACGCAAGAGTCTTGACTTGACCCTAGCCAAATACTCTTACTGAGTAGCTGTTGTCGGAACTATCCTAGTTCGTAACACCTTACTACATTGCTTAGTCTCTCATTGTATCAGCAAAAGCCCACTTTATTAGCATCTCCACCCATACATACATTGTCAATCCAGGTAGGTCATCGACTTCACTAACTCTTTTTAATCCAACATCTGAACTAACTGTAATGCATGTCAATAGAGATTGCCTGCACCTCCTTGAGAAAGCAGACAGCATCTTCAAGTATGTCAGCAGAGGATGCAGATGATGAGATAGAGATTTATGACATGGTTGTCCCTAAATGCATATCTACAAGCTTGCTCCCCTCTCTAATGGGTGCAAAGCAATCAGCAACCATTGGGTCCTTGAATTCAAGGAAGACAACAAGAGAGGATCTGCATAAAAGGTGCACTTTATTGCTCAAGGGTTTTCACAGATACCAGGAGTGGACTACAGTGTGACATTCACACCTGTACTGAAAACTGCATCTCCATGCCTCATCGCTGCTCACGCCTGCAAGAATGACTGGGAGCTTCACTCATTCAATACAGCCTGAGCCTTCCTCTGGGGCATACTCAAGGAGGATATATACATATGACAATCCAGAGGTTTTGAAGAGGGAGACTGGAGGGTACAGGTTTGGCAGATGCTCCACATGATATACAGTTTGAAACAGTATCTCTCTCCAACAATGTGCTACTTTTATTGAGCTCAGTCCAAGTTAAGTGACTTGAGTTCTTCATCTTAATTCAATAGCAATATATTTCCACATAATTTATTTTTATATGGTAAATTTTTATTTTGAATTGCTTGATGTGTTTACAATTATTAAGATATACTATTAAAGCCTATTTCTTTGATGTCTTGTGTGTCATTATGAATAGTGAAATATAAATTATGTAAGTGTTATGATTTTAGAATACAACTTGCACCTTTCCACTGATACTTCAATGTTTTCTGCATAACTCAATCTCTTTCAGAACATTTTTAGTATATAATGAGAGTAAAAAAGGGTTATAAAAGGGTTTGAAGATACTGCAATATCTGTGATAGATAAAGCAGCTACTATAACTACTGATATGGCTAATCTGCCTCGGTCACATGCAGCAGTATCATCTTAGCCTTTACTGAAACTTGTATCCATATTATAGAGTGAATTGCTTAATATCATAGCAGCTATATTTAAGCTTGTCTTGGGATTCCAGAACATGTCAGGTAAGACATAACTGAAGTAGATTCCTGCATGCAATGCAATCTTGTTGATGGCCTTGTCTTAGTTAAATTTGATAAAGACTAAAGCATAATGAATTTAACTGCCTACAGTGCTTATGCATTCAAACCTTGAGCTTTATTGGCTGCTTTAGCAGCCATATTGACCGGTCAAGCATTAGCACAATCAACAGCTAAGGCTAAATAGTCAATGACAAATGATTTCCAAAGATTCAATCATAAGTTATGCATAGCTTTTTTGGATAGATAGCCTTTTGTTCCTACATGAAGCATATACTAAGAGACATTCTGAAGATAGTTGACTGTAATGTTATAAAATTGCTGAATGCATTTCTCTGCTCCTGTATGAGAATTTGTGAGAGTGTATTTTAGTATACATGAGTATGCAATATAAAAGACAGCTGTGGAGAGAGCTGTTATCATGAAGAAGATAGCAACCAACAAAGGAGCTTTGACTTGAATCATCTTACAGATGTGAGTAGCAAAGTCTTGTATACTCAATTTCTTCTTTGAGGCATTAGAAAGACCCTCTGAGAAATTACTGAGATTGATAATGACATATCATAAGAGGTGTTCATTAAGCTCTGTCTTTGTGGCCATGAGAATGCTTGCAGGCCACCTATTTCTCCAAAGATTTCAAACTATCTCTGTCTCTGCTTGGACCTTAATTGTCTGAGTCTATGTCCTTGCTGTTGCTCAAACATTCCTTTTTGACTGCAGTTACAATCAGAGTCTTAACATCAGTGATGTAAGACCACAAAGCTATCAAAGCAATAATATTACAGTAATGTTTTTATGTGGTATATTAGAGGAAGACATAAAGAGAGAGCTTGTTGATGAACAACTCTATGTGATATGACACTTTGTATGCCTTTATCAGCACTGAATGTATTAATGATCATCTTGTTTTATTGCTAGTGCAATACTACAACAATAATAATGAGTATATACTTTTATAATGGATCCTTCACCAAACTCTAATTCACAACAACTATCCACAATCCCAGCATGTAGCATTCAAATGTATTCTAATTGTAATGCAGTCTTACTTAATATAATAGAATATGAGCTGCATGCCATAACTGGTCCAGTTCTTTATGTAGCTTTAAGTGATATAACCATATCTGGCATAATCATTCTATCCATGATTTGAAGTGGATAGTTCATATGTATCTGTGGATAGATTGACATGTGATCATAAGATTGCAAGTATGAGTGATTGCTTCAAGTTATTATAAAGGGCTTTATGCAGAATAGTAGCAGGCATATTAACAGCTATAGAAAATTATATGCATTCACATGACTAATGCATGTAAAAACACACTAGATAGCCTCAGATATGCTATTATAACAGATTAATTCACTTTCTCTGCCCCTCTTTTGGCCTTTGAATAATTTCTCATATAATTTTCATTACCAATCCCTAACAATTTCTTCACCTCATTCAACTACTGTAAGGTGCTTTCTAGATTGATATCATATTGTTTCTTGTAGCTCTCCCTTCCTCCACAACACCATTAAGGTTAACCAGAGAAGGGAATAGTATTAATTTGTATTGGATGATATGACTTGGATATATATATATACTACCAATCCTAAGGGATTATTAGTCTCTGGAACTTCTTTTGTCTTTTCTTCATTTTTCTACATTCTTATTGCATCTTATTATCTTTGACACCATATATCATCCCACTAGTGGCTTCCTTCTATCTCAAACCTTCTGATATTTAGTATATAATATTTTGCTCATTTGCTGATGTATCTATTAAGACATGAAATTATTCACTGTCTGGCTCTTCAACACAAGTACACATCACACAGAAGGTAACTCTGCATGGTAATAGCACAAAATATCATAAACAAACACCCCCAGAAATTTAACAATGTCTTCTCCTCAAATAAAAACAAGCTACTACAAACTCACAGATAGAAAGAAAAAATGCACAAACAATATCCATCCACTAGGGTGACATAGTCTTTAATCCCTCCTTAACAGTGAAAGACTCTCTATTAGAATGCTTCAGTATATTCATAAATCAGATCAGACTCTCCAAAATGCCCACCTACAGACTGCAATATCTAACTACAAGTTGACAGACTACTGACAATACCATTACAATATGTACTAACAGTTCATGCCTATAAATAATGCACAAAATGCAATTTGTGGCAGTGGATATCCAATGACCACTCACTCAACTAGGTGATAAAAATCCTAGGAAGGCTACAGTCAAATTAAATAGAAAAAACCACCACAGTACTGGTAGCATTCCAATTAGCAGACTCATTAATGCCAGTAAGAATTGTCACAGACTCACAATATAAAATTGATGGATTGATATTCCACCTGGGATGCTGAAAATATTGAGGTTAGATTGGTATCATAAATGAAGATGTTTCAAAGCTACCACATATCATCTTTGGAAATAATGTCATGTATGAAAGGGAGCATTAAAGGAGATGGGCTTATTCAGCCACTTACCTAATGAGTAAACCATTTAAATATGTTTGTAAGCATGTAATATAACTGGTAAAAATCTGATTTGTAAGGATTTTCCATGACTCATCATGTTTTATCATGCTGTGTAATTTTTTACTCATGTAATTTAGTAAGCAGCTAATTCAGCACACCAAAAGGCTTGGTTTTTAAGCACATTCTTATCAATTCATATGATGAGTTATACTTAGAGTAGAAACAAATGGAGGAAAGACTGCAGGAGACAAAGTCCAGAGCAAAACAAAGCCAGAGAAGTGGAGTTTGAGATAGGAGGAGTAGTATTCGGGCAATTCTATTGATTGTTGCTACCCTATCTTAGCTTTCTTAGACACTCGATGCACTAGTCATCAGACCCATTGCTTTATCAACATCTCTCTTTCTGATATTCATAGTTGTGTACTTGTTTATGAAGCTCACAAGGTTTAGACACCCTGGCAGGGTGCTTCTTCAATCTATTGCCTAGTATATTGTTATAACCTGCTTCTTTATTGATTTGTGCACTGGTGAATACACCAACTCCCACACTTACATTAAACTTCAAACCAATACTACTATTGACTCAGCTTTGCCCTGACCTGGATTAGAAGTCACAGTTGTTGTCATCAGCTGTGTCCTTTTCATCTCAGTGATATTCATAGTGGATACAATCTTCTGTGTTGTGGCTTACATGTATAGTGAGGAGCAACTCAGATTGTATATGCCAGTATAAGGTTGGATATGAGACTGTGTTTCCCTTTTAGGATTGAGATTATTTGCAGGATATATATTTAAATTTAATTCAGAGTTTCTACTGATATCATCTTCAGTTGTTTGAAATCTATTCCAGCTGCTTAGTCAGCTGTTTTCATATTGTGTTAAAGAACAGTTTACTTAGACAGGTATAACTCCTCTACCTTACTCTATAAGTGTTATCTTGATATCTATGGCTATTGTTTATATTTTAATATTGTTTTAGCTCTATGATAACAATAAAATTTCACTGTACAGATTAGGTAATGTAGATCAAGTTTGAATTAATGTACAGTTGCCTGCTCCTTGAAGTTGAGATTTTACCCACTACAATTTCCAGAAATTTAATGAATGTGTGATCCTGTTTTCTAGTCTTCATTTATATCATTTAATGTATTGCATTGGGATGCCTACCTTTATAAGGTTGTAGAGGACTTGCTAAATATAATAGCAGAAAATGCTACCTTGACATTGATGAATAAGAGTAAGATGTGGCTATTCTTTGATGCCCATAAATCAGTGATGAATTCAGTGAGGTTATTGTACCTCTTTGCCAGGAGGGTGAAGTCTATCTGAAACACACAGTTTATAAGCATACTGAGTAGATATTGGCATGGGTAAACCCATAGGTATACATTTAAATTGAGGTACTCAAGCATATAATATACTATCAAACTATAGTAATATATTTAGCTCCAAGCTGCTCTCAACATACAAGCCACCAACAATAATAGTGCATAGCAGAATGCACCTGAAGGGAGACACTAGGTAAGTCATGAGGCTCATACAGTAAAAAACTCACCTGCTTGAGTATACAGATAAGGCTATAGGTTCCAAGTCTTTCTCTATCAAGTCCCTCTTTTGTCTGCTTGATCTTGCTTCTCTTCTTAAGATACCTCAGGATCATTATTAATATCAGAGGAAAAGTGGTTATGTACATAGAAGAATAGTCAAGCAGCTATATAGAAGGTGAAGGAATATCTGACCTCCTCCTCCTCCTAGATGCTTACATTTGAGTGAGTGATAACTACAGAAGGTATGAAAATTGTGGCCCCAACAGGAAATTTGATCACTAGGCAAAGTTCCTAAAAACAATAGATTCCCCTGTTACATGATTAAAGTGAATGAGGGCTATAACAAAACACCAACCTCAGACAAGGTTTGTAGTATCCTTGTGGATGTAGGTGGTGGTGCCTAGACCCAAATTAGAAGTACAAGCAGGTATTTTACTACTTTGTTACAGTCTCTTCTGATGTTGGCATTCTGTGTGGAGCCTGTCTAAGTAGTTCTGAGAGATTCTGTGAATCTTGAGAGAAAATAATTGGAAAGTAGCTGGGAACCTATTAGCATCTATCAGAGTGGTCAATTCAATCAGCCTACCTCATTAAAGTCTACTATTCTGTTCATTCCCTCACATTCCAAAATTGATTTTACAGCTAGTTAATAGATTTGGAGTATGGCAAGGCTTGGGAGATGCTGACATGCTCTAGGCTTCAATAAAATTCAAAATTGAGCATCACACTCATCTACTATTCTCTATCATAGGAAACTCCTGTCATTGAGGCATAGTAGAGGTCTTTTAAAAAACCTTCCCTTTGGAAAGTCCTATGATAAGAGTGTAGCAGGCCTTGAATAGAGAGGTTATTTACTCTATGACTTTGCTATGGATTTTTTGTCTTTAATATATGAATCAGATGTTGACTTTGGCTGCCTAGCTAGCATTGCTATGATGTAGCCTTTATGGTAAATTACAAGCATAAGGGTCCTGTTGGAAAATAAATTACTGCCAAAGAAACCTACTGCCCATCTTGTTGAATAAGTTTGAAGCCTATTTCAAGGAGTTCATCCAGCTCATATTGTCTTTGCTCTTCCAATTCTTCTTTTAAATTTTCCAATACTTACTACATCATTCAGATCCTTTCAGTTAAAAAATGCATATATTCAATTGCCATCAGCCATAAACTGTTTTCTAAGGATGAGGACATTCAATTTATATAGAAGGCATCAAGTTTCTCGGCGAATGTCCTTGTCCCCACTACTGTATCAAGAAAGAAGACATTCCCAAGATGGGTACGAAGCTGGATATGAGGTGCCATGAGGCAACTTGGCGTGTCGATGACGAACAACGACATCATAAAGTTGAACAGGCACGACAACTGATTTTCAGGCATGGTGTTGGCATCAATGGACAGCGCATCAAAACTATTCTACAAGAAGAATCACTGGTCCCTACTTCGTGTAAGCCATCTATTTATGCACATATCTGGTTGCTTATATGTTTCAGAATGTGTTCTGTGAATGTTTCCTTGCAATATGCATTCAATTTTTTCTTAATGCTTGTCGTTGACCTCCTCCATGTGTTTGAGCTGGGTGTGTGGAAGGCAATATTCACACATCTTATGCATATTCTGGCCGCTGCAGGTGGTGTCGCAGTTCAGGAACTCAATTTGAGGTACAAGTTTGCACAGTAGTAACACAGCAGCTATCTACTTACACATTACAGGTACTGTCAGGTCCCCACCTTTGGAAGGGGGACAATCAGACATTTCCACAGGAATGCATCAGTGATAAAATGTCTTGCTGCCCGCGATTTTGAAGACCTGTTGCAGGTAAGATTGATCCTATCAGAATTTTGATGGTATGATTGATGCGCTGTCAATTGTAAATTAGTGCGCAATTCCAGTCTTTGAAGGATTGCTCCCTCGTGATAAGAACACGGCCGATCATAATAAGATTGTTCTTGACCTGCTCTTTGACCTTTTCACAGTTACCTGACATGTGAGAAGTTCATGCTGAGTCATTTGTAAGCCAAAGGAAATGAAACTGAATCCAAGAATAAATCTCCAAAAATATTCATTCCTGTAACCTGGGTTTGCTGAAGGATGAAGAAAAAAGCATGTAATGTCTTTGAACCGACGTAAAGCTCACCCAAGTCTAGTGGTTGAGTTGTCAAGGAAATGCAGTGTGGTTTCAGTATGAAGTCTGAGTTTTCCTAGGGCATGCCACGTTGCTAGTTCGAAAAGTAGATCCAATATGACCTTGTCGTGCTCCTTAGGCAGTAGCCCTTTGAATACAGGGATAGCACACTGCATCACATCAGACAAGGCGTCAGACTTCAAAACATGTACACACCTGTAAGATATCCTCAAAGTCTCTTGCAGCGCGTTTTGTGAGGTTCGAAACATTGCGATTGAATTTGCGTATTGTATCCCTGCCAAAAGTCGGAACATTGCGATATCTTTGAGTCGGTTAGTCTAGAAAGAAATAAAACAAACTCAAACCTCACCTTGCATTGAATTGTTTGAATTGCATCCCCACCAAAAGCATGCATGATACGCAGCAAATGTGTAAGAGTACCCTTCCAGACTCCCAGTTTGAATTCATGCATAAAATCGGGTACAAACATTGAGTGAAAGTCAAACTCGAAGCAAGACAAGCGCTCTGAGAAAGCATTCTTCAAAGGAGGTGTAAGGGACTTTTATTGCACAATGAATAGTAGAACTTACACGTGTGGGAATGCTGACATGCGTGACCAAAGTTTCTTGTTCCACTGACAGGCGATATCATAAGATATGTTGAGGACATGAACATTGCGTTGGAACAAGAGAAGTTGGTCCAAGTACCTTGTTGATCACTGGGCTCGCAATGTTACAGCCCTTTCTGAAAATCCAATCTCAGACCATCTCAATCATGCTCCAGCGAGCATGGTTATTCATGCGTGCATCTTGTGTGCATCGCAGTCTATCCAGTTTTGATCCCACCTGATCAATCTTGTCCTTTGGGATGAGGCATTGGGGGCATGGAAATTTACCGAGGAACTTGATACATGCAAGGAGAATCCTGAAATTCGAATGAGCTGTTTTACAGAAGGAGAGTCGTAGATACTTACTTTTCCGGGTAACCTGCTGCATAGGTAAAAAAACATGGAAATACTCTATGATATATGTTGTCCGCAAATCAGACAACAATACCATGTTCATACGTGTGCATGAATTCTTTGTCAAGGAGAAACAGCCAATGGCTTGCATCAGCTCTCGCTTGAGATGTGTGAGCACTGTGCTCGGCGCTGCTTGCCCATACAATTTATGGTAATATTCATGGACAATGTCCGGTAACTCGAAGGCAAGTCAGCAAACTTTGCAAACTCAATCACGAAACATATGCAAACCTTTGGGATATACGCCAGATGATGGGCAGCGAATGCAGAGGGACAATTCCTGGTATATTTGACTGATTTCCAATGAACATGTAGATTGGCCATAGCACAGCATGTCCAAATGAAGCAAGGTGCATTGAGTCTGACCAAAGCATAATTGAAGTGACGATGGTCTCCAGCCGACAACCAGGCTCATGGGGCTGTGCCTTTATCTTCTCATGCTCATCGAGCATAGCACTGGCCATGTAGACCTTCATAATGACACATTCCGGAAATTCACCCTCGTCAGGCTGCCAGAAGAGTTTGTACAGGACATTGTGAAATGATTTTGAAGCAACTTCCTCATAGGCTGACCTGATAACCTCTAGGGGCTTCCGGTAATAGAGTCCGTCCATGGCACAGTCAGGTGCATCAGCTTCAGATGCATACCTGTGCTTCTCAGCAGGCAGCTTGATATTGACAGATGCCTCGTGCCACTTGTCAGAGGTGCTAAACAGCTTTGAATCTGAGTCCTCGTCAGCCTACGAAATGTGGTAGCATTGAAAAAAGGTGTGAAAAAGGTGTGATTGACCACTTCAATAGCAGTACCAAAGCCTGCATACCAGGGCCGCTCATTTGAACTGTCGGCCTGTTGGAAAGTATGAGAGTCACATACATCATCGAATGATGAGGTGTTCTTGGGGTTGTAGGAAGGGAAAGTTCCTCAGGTATGACATGAACGTGCCAAAAGTGTCCTGTTTGGTGTGTACCCACACATCTCCTTCCAATTCGGCAGTACCTGAGTCAGAATGAACAGGAGATTGTGGAATGGTATGAGCTACATCATCTACTGGAGGTGGAATCGGAACAGGGATGGGAAGGGCTGGAAGTTCATCTTGGTAACGTGAAGGTAGTTGCCACCTGTGATTCGGAAGACCTGATGCTCGTGCCAGTGGTGGGGGTGAGGGTGAATGATGTACTGGCAATTCCTAGACAGCAGCATGAATACCCTGTATCACTCTGACAAAAGAAACATTCACCTACATATGGCTCGGGATTCTCAAATTCTGGCTGGTTCGCCTCATTGAGTGAGGGCTTGTCGAGTAAGGGGGCTTCTGACTGAGCATGTGGAGCAGGAGGAGGCTGTGGAGCTTGGCGCTCGCGACGGGCATTCATGACATTGTTTGAGACGTCTCTAAGGCCTTTGCACCATTGGTTCTGGTGGGTTGACAGACCGCGTGCTGATTTGGCGGTATAATTACAAGCAGGACATATGAACTGACATGACTGAGGATGAAAGTGGGTAGCGCAAGGATAGTATACTTTGCAGGCATTGCCTGTGCATATCCATCTGAGGTGAGGAGTCAGAACAAAGGACACATTTTATGTGAAATTGGACCTGCCACCCAATCAAAACCTGCCTACAAAACTCTATGCTCCCAAAGACCAAAGAGCATCCTGGCAGTGCCGTGCACCATATGGTGGTATATCCTTCTCTCCTACTATAGGTCTGATATCTCCATTCTCTCCCTCTGGCCAACGTGCTTGACCGAGCCTCTGTGGATCATGACTGACGCCAATAGACTATGTTTGAAGAAAGTAACTGCCCTTGTGAGCTGAAGGAGGATTGTGAAATGTATTGTAGAGCACAATTGTAGAGCAACTCACTTGAATGGGAGGGCAATGCTCAACGTATATACTCAATATCTCTGGTAGTTTGTCGATAACTGGATGTGAAGAGGTTTTCACGTATTTACCTATAGTCAGTATCTTTGGTAGTTCGTTGATAACCGGATTTGAAGAGTCTTGGGTGTAGAATCACTGCACCACCATAGATAGATAGGTGGATTTGGCAATCGAACTCTTGAAAGACGAGTACAGAGTGAGAGCTGAACCTCGTTATGAAGATGATATTTGCAATAAGGGTCAAGTTACATGGATGTCAGCTCAACACAAGAAACAATGGTATTCATGCGACAATCTATGTAGGGGAGCCTGCCATGCGGTTGTGAGAATGGATGTGGGGCTAAGCTGCTTGACATCATATGCAACGAGGAGAGTATGGGAGGAGATGAATGGCACAGGGGAGTCTCGGGGCGCCAGAGTGTGCCTTTGAAACATTGCAGCATCCCACAGCCAAATAGTGTTATACCAAGATCCAGTGACAATGCGAGTTCCATCTGGTGAGAATGAGACTATGTAATTCTAGCAGTGTGCCCCCAAAAGGGCTCACCGACTGGCTTCCCCATCCCTGCATCCCACAGTCAAACAGTCTCATCCCTTGGACCAGTGACAATGCGAGTACCGTCCGGCGAGAATGAGACTGAAGTAACTGGTTTTGTGTGCCCCCTGAGCACGGTTTGAACAGCCGGCCAGTTCATATCACGTCCAAATGCTAAATGAAGAGTATTTGGAAACATTCTAGATAGTGGGGAGTTGACAGGCGAGAATGGGCATGCTGATACATACAGATGTGGCGTGCTGTGTAAAATGATGCTGCTGAAGACTTGAATGAACCTCTGTACATCCACTGCAGTCAACGAGACATCTTTGAATTCGGGATGGCCCTGTGGTTGCGCATGAGAACATTATCTGACACCCAGCAGCAGTGTACTCACCTTAAGGGCACCAACTGCACTGCTGAGCGCATTGGTCAGGGTGAGAGACCGGGATTAGGTAGATACAACGACTTTAAATCACAGATGTTGAAGCAAAGACCGTGTTTCATCATTTGAAGTGACACGAATGCAAGGTCACATTGTGCATTTGACAGGTCGACAAAAAACTCTCCACTGGATCGTTCATCCATCAAGAAATTGCGCAAGGATCCGTGAAGGGGTCGGATTGAGGAATCTGGGTCAGTGGTGCCACTGAGGAGGGAGCCCATGCTTTTCACCACAAGCTTGACGTCAAAATTATCCTCCGGTGTTGGAAAATGGCGCCTCATGGCATTCAGGGAAGTGAAGCACGGCAGCGCAGGACAGCATGCCATGCTCGATAAAAGAGATGCAGAGTCGATCAGTTCGGATTTGTAGTTGTTGTTGGAGTGGTTCAGGGTGAGAAAAGGGCGGGTGATAATGGGAGGCGGGCGAGAATGCAAGGGCAGGTGAGCATGCGAGGGTGGGGTAACAGCAGTTGCTGGTCAAGACTCTGTAATCTAGATAGAAAGTGAGCAGCTTAAAACAGTCAAAATTTGTGGATGTGGTGGAAGGGGAAGTGGTGCTCCACTACTCAGTCTTGGGGCGGGGATGGGCCATACCGGACTTCATAGGGAGGGGAGTTTAAGCAAACTAAAAAGAAACGACACTCACCAAATAAAACATAGAATTAGCAGATGCCCTATATTGATGGTACCACTGTGAAGAAGTTGAAAGTTCGAACTGTCCATTTCGAAAGTCACATGACTTTCAAAGTCAGTTGGCACTTTCCGAAATACACAATGTCTCAATAACGCGTCAATCTTTGCTTATCTCTTATACCAACACCATTAATTGTACTCTTATGCTACTATTTATTATCCTCAATGCCTTCAACGTCTACCATCAACATGTTCGAGGACAACATACTCATTGAGATCGATGGTGTTGCCTCTACGTGGGATACCTATTGTCTTGGCCTAAATATAGTCACTCCTGGCTCCAAGGTATGAAATAGTCATTTCATTTACAAGTACTACTAAACCCATCGTGATTTTCCGGTTCAAAGATATCGGAAAGGCCATTTGAGAGGGCTCATCTGACTCTGGCCATATGTGGGTTCATTCGTTCAATACAGTGTGCTAATTATTCACTTTGAAGCTAGCGCTAATAAGGTGTGGAGCACACTCAAGGCTGACAATGTCAAGACAGAACCTGACTTAGTTGAGACTTGTGTAAAGTTCGAGGAGGACAATGAGGATTCCATGAATTATGTGTATGCAACCTTCTGTCTAATTACCCAGGCTGTACTCAGATTTTAACTAACAGATTTTCAAAGGAACGTGTCTCATGCAACCTACTCACTCAACACTGTGGCAATCCAAATGCAAGACCAACTGACCCATTTGCACTGTGGCGCTACTTGGTACAGCCGTTTGATCGGTCAACCATTCCATTGGAGGTCGCTAAAAGGAAGGCACTGCATGAAGATATCAAGGACTATCCATCCAAGCGTCTTAAATTCTGATTTTGCACCATCGCTTTTGCTTGTTTTTCACACAGTCGTTCATAACAGAATACCTTTTGCAGTCGTTTGTCTCAACTATCATTTGCTGTCGCCTGAGTACCTCTTTCTTCTTGCACTGTACCACTATTTTACAATGCTCTTTTGTTGATTATCATATGTTGTGTACTGCTCAATTCAAAGTGTATCTGCTTGTCATGGTTGTCTGATGATCTTGAAACTCCGGCCATCAATATTTTTAAATTCTGATATCTGTGATAACAACTCCCTGATTTTCCCCTGAGCCCTTTACCTCACCCTACCATGTCTTCATCAGACTCTGACGCGTCATCGTCAGCCTACAACTCCAATAAATGTGCATCTTCATCAAACTCTGATGCAACATTGCCAACTTCCAACTCCGAGAAGCGTACATCTTCATCAAGCTCTAATGCATCGAAAAAATGTGTCTCAACTGATGATATCCTCAATAATATTACTACCACTGGCAGGCAGAAGAAAATAAAGTGAGTTTCACATTCGTGGGCTGACCCCTATCAGGCGACTCACGTAACTTAAGGTTGAGCGATGCGTTATTGGAATATCGCATGGCCAGGCTGCAAAGTGGTCCTTGTTGAGAGTTGATCCGTCAGAGCACCCGAACCGGTTCCACTCTCATATTATGCCTGTCCCCCTTATTATGCCTGTCATGTCCTGTCACTTACCTAGTTACAATTATTTTCCTTCTTTCTCTCTACTTAAGACAGCTGGACCCCTACAACTGCACCTCAGTCTTTCTTACCATTGACTGAGGTGTGTATAGCATTCTTACCCTTATGATACAAGTCACTCACTAACGTACTTCTATAGGCTCGCGCTATGTTAGGTTCGTACATTAGGAATATAGTCTTTCTTACCATTGACTGAGGCTCACGCTACGTTAGCTCTCCCCTCCTGACAGGTTATGAGCCCTGCCTAAAGGATAGCAGTATTCTCTCATCGAACATCTAGTTCTCTCGATTCCCAACTCTCTCGTCGACAATCATTCACCTACTATGTCCTCTCCTGATTCTCTTCCCAAAACCGAGAAGTATCCGCACGAGAAGCTCACCCTCGATGGTTCTAACTATACCCAATGGGAAACTGGCTTCAAAATGTGGGCTGGTGGCATTGGACTATGGCCATATGTCAGTGGCAATGAAAAGGAACCATTACCACCAGGCCTTGCTCACAGATGCAGACCAAAACATCCTCCGCAAGGAGAAACATGATGAGCAGGTGAAGGTTTATAAGCAACGCCGTCTTCTGGCTCTCAGTGCCCTTTCCATGGCCATCGACATGCAGGACTTTGTGTACCTGCGTGATATAGATGACCCGCACCTAGCTTGGACAGCACTGGAGAAGAAATACCTTCCCCAAAAGGCCATCCGTTTCAATCAGTATCTTGATCGCCTATTCACCCTTCCAAAGGCACATGACAGCGTCTCTATTCGCCGGAACACTGAAAACCCTCATCATATTGAAAGCAGACCTTGCAGCCCTCTCAGTCGCATTGATGCCAGTCCCTCCTACCACCTCTACGATGACTACTACCACTACAAAGGATGAATACAGGATTCCGGATGCGATCTTCATGCACATCCTGCTCCGAGCTCTTCCTGACTACTACGACCCTCTCCGTCAAACCCTTGTTAACAGCGACACCTCGCTGGACTTCAATGACATCATGAACCGATTGAAGACTCAAGAGTTGCATCATGCTGGTACCAACAGCGCACCAGAACATATAGCCATGCTCTCTGGCCATCGAGGAGGTAATACACCTCCCAAGACCAGCAATTGCATCCCCCCCAAAGGCTTCAACGAGTCAAAGGGGGATAGCTGGGTTGTAGGATGGTGCCCTAAATGTGGGCACTGTCTGAAAGCTGGACATGTCTGGGTGCAGTGCTGTGTACAACTCTCCAAGGATGAGAAGGCCCCGAAGTCAGCACCACCTCCTTCGTCCCCTACCGCTATCGCCGCTAACACGGAATCTCCCCTGGCAGACCAAACTGATGAGCCTGTCACACCAGCCCCATCCATCCTTACCTTAAAAGACCATTCTGCCAGCATCTCATTGACCCTTACTCTACCTACTGGGATGTTCCATGTAGACTCTGCTTCTACAGCTCATATGGAGCCTGAAATATCATGTTTTTCCCACTACACAAGATTGCGTGAACCCATTCATGTGACGCTGGCTGATGAACATGTGGTCTTGGCCCCAGGATGGGGTACAGTGAGACTTGTCCTCTGGTATAGTACATCCTTGACAGAGCATGACTTTGAGTTCCTGCATGTCCCTGACCTACGCTGCACGCTCATTTCCATCTCTACACTCGCCTCTGCTCGTATCTCTTTCGCCATGACATCTAAAGGTGGGACACTATGCTCTAATGATGGTGACAGCCCTTGCCTTGCTCATGTGCACCCAAAGGGTGGGCTTTACCTACTTGACGCTGCCTATTGTGCAGAGACTGCTCCCACTACCATGCAAGCAATGCTCAGCAAATCATCCTCCGCAACTTCGTCGCTCAACACCTGGCATCGTCGATTAGGCCACACCGGCTTTTCGATGATTATGAAGGCTATCGGGCACATTAGTGGAATGGACCTTGATGCAACGTCATTGAATCACGATGCAGATGGTGCGGACTCAATTCACTGCATATCTTGCATTATGGGCAAGCACAAGCGACTCCCTTTTCCCACTGTTGTGCACCGCACTAAGGCTACTGCAGAGTTGATTCATTCTGATGTCTGGGGTCCTGTCAATGTTACCTCCTCTACTGGTGATCACTACTTTGTAGTGTTCACCGATGATTATATGAGGTACTCCGCCAGTCTACCTTATGCATGTGAAGTCTGAAGTCTTCGATCGCTTCAAGCACTTTGCACCATGGGTGGAAACTCAATCTGGGGGTCGCATCAAGTGTCTTCGCAGCAATAATGGCAGTGAGTACGTGTCGAAGGATTTCCTCCACTACCTCGCAGAGCATGGTGTGGTGTTCAAACTTTCGGTAGCCTTGCAGAGGCACTTTTCACTATGCATCTCTTACTGACACTTTCCTTAGATTAGGTTCGCACTTTTGCTGCTTACATAATCATCTTCCCTTTACCTAGGACTCTACAGTCATTACCTAGTTTCCCTTGTTTCCAGTTCTTTGGTTGCTCCCCATTCACTTGGGTTATTTAGTAGCATCCCCTAGTTGTAGCTTTCCTAGTTGTAGCTTCTCAGCTCACCAGATAGCTCCTGGAACATAGTTTTCTTACCTTGACTTGGAGTACCTTCTCCACTCTCTTTCTTTGAGCCTGAGCCTAGTCAGAGATCCTTTAGGGTCGAACGTTCTTGCTAGCAAGAGTAGCAGCTAGGAGAGCAGGAGACTCATATACTTTGGTTTGGTGCTTTTACCTACAGCCCAGCCATATCTTGTCACCACAATGGTATTGAGCATGAGACCACGATGCCTTACACACCACAACAAAATGGTGTGGCAGAGCGCAGCCACCAGATGGTAGTTACTCACGCGCTCAGTTCACATCACCTGAGCGGTTTCCCGTGTTCTTTCTGGGGCTGGGCCATTCTCAACTCAGTGCATATCAAAAACGTACTTCCATCATTGTCGCTGGCTGGCTGTACCCTGTTTGAAGCCTTCTATGGTCGGAAACCTGACATCGGCTACCTTCGCCCCTTTGGCTGCCTCGCTTATGCACACATCCCTGAGGACATTCACCATAAGTACGATTTTGTCTCCCGGCGTTGTTTCCTCCTTGGCCACGTGCAAAACACAGGCTACATCCTTTGGGACCCCTCTGCCAAGTGTACCATTTGCTCTCGTCATGTCCACTTTGACGAACATATCTTCTATGGCAACCCTGCCCCATCGCCTCTTGCCCCCCTTCTCGCTGATCCCATAGTTACCCCTGATGTCCACTCATCAGTGGGGGATGTCTGGACGCCTCCACAGGCTGGTGAGCCACCGGTTTTGACCCCCACTGGTATAGTACCGCAGGTGTCAGTGGGAGGAGAGGCACATAATGACCCACCAGCAGCAGAACCTGTCCCACATCCGGCACTACCGGCACCACCTCCTCCAGCAGATCCACCCCATCGCAGTGCTCGCTCATGCTAGCCGGTGCAAATTGGCCACATTGCGCCAACTGGCACCAGCGCGATGGCAATACCGGCAAGGAGAGTTCCTGTCGCCAAACGCTGGACCTATGTACCAGAACCACCCATGCTTGATGGCGAGGCAAACCAACAGCATGATGGTGCTGAACCTGCTGAATCTGCGATGCATACGACCGCAGAACCTCCAAAACGCCCAAGCATCATTATACCGGACACCATCGACAAAGCACGGCTATCGCCAGAGTGGGCACAATGGTCAGATGCCTGCACGTCTGAACTGCAATCAATGCAGGACCTCAAGACTCACCGCCTCATGCCACTCCAAGAAGGACGGTGTCTTAATAACCGAGGGTCTTATATAAATACGTGTAAGAATGTAATGACACCACAATTACACTGGATAAGACTTCTTGCCAGTCCTCAATTAACACAGTCTACGACTTTTCTTCTTTCGTGGTAGATAATGTGTGAGTTCTTGGGAGGCTCGCTAAACCAATCAGTCAGATTAACTTAGCCGGAGCTTTATTATCACTGATTGAAACTATGGGATTGTCTAGGATATACCGTCTAGACACTTGAACTGGTTTCCTGAATATACGGTTAACTGTTGAGAAGCTGGTCTCAAATGTGACTACATGGACCAAAGCTCGTGTTGGTCAATATACAAATACCTGGTGAGAACGCTGGTCTCACAAATAACAACAATGACAAATAAAAAAAAACAATGACAAATAACAACAATGACAAATAACAACAATGACCAAAGCTCATGTTGGTCAGTATACAAATACCTGGTGAGAACGCTGGTCTCACAAATAACAACGGTGACCAAAGCTCGTGTTGGTCAGTAAACACTACGTGGTGAGAACACTGGTCTCACAAAACTGGGTTTCTATCGCGAGAAACTTACGTAATCTCAAGGGAAACACTTTCCCTGCACTTGCCTGGACAGTTCTTACAAAGGAAATGGGCTTTGTAAGCAGCAATTTGTTCAGACTGAAGCTTCTTAGGTGAGAGTTCAATTTGCTCAAGTGGGAGTTCTTGAATGCAACAAGTGGGAGATCTATTTTTTGGGGGAGAATGGGCTCTCCTTATATACATTTTGTGTGGGAATATTATGTAAGTAAAAAGGTGATGTAATGACTTCAGAATGTGAGAAGAATATTCCAAAAACTGGAGCAGAATGTTCTAGCAGGTGCAAAAGAACATTCCAGAATATTCATGGTGGGATAATGACATCATTCTGAGTCACAATGAGTCACTATGAGTCATTATGAGTCATTGGAATGTTCTAGCAAATTCCATGGAACATGACATCATTATGACATCACTATGATATCATATCTTTCAACCAAAATACCTGCAGGAGTATAGGTGAAGTCCTATGACATCATTATGACATCATACCCTGTAGGTACAATTTTATGAAGCATCTGATTAGTCAGAGCATCCTAATAGAAAAGTAAAGTAAAGAAACACTAGAGAAAACAACTCAGAAATAATGGAACAAATAATAGTACACAATACGCGGGCTTTTTAGATAGGTTTTTGTTAGGCTTTGAACTTTTCTCTATGGGTTTCTCTAGCCAAAGTGAATAAGCCAAATGAAAGGCAATACCTTAACCTTCATTTTGCTTCTCATATCAACTAGGTCATTATGTGATTCCCATCTCACATATGACTTTTCTTCAAAACATGGTGGATTCATGAATCACTGAGGGAAAACTGAAACTATTGGACCAAGGTTTGATACCAAGGTATGGGTTGACTAGTCTGAGGACTAAGCTAACAGACTTTGTCTTTTAGGGGGATACCTAGTAGTCATGTCCATGGATGATTCCCAAATCATGCAGGACAACGGAAGGCAATTGGTTCAAGGTGGGTATTCACGGTGAAGACTGATGAAGAGGGCAACATCACCCACCACAAAGCATGCTTTGTTGCACAAGGGTCCACGCAGATCGAGGGTATAGACTACATGGAGACTTTTGCAGCCGTCGCCAAGTATGACACCATCCACATTCTTCTCGCCCTCGCAGCGAAATTTGACCTTGAACTCGACCAGATGGACATTTGGACAGCCTTCCTCAATGCCAAACTCAAAGAAGACATCTACCTCAAACAACCTGCCGGCTTCAAAGATCCTGAACACCCAGGATTGGATATGGAAACTTGAGAAGGTGCTTTACGGGCTGAAACAGGCTGGTTACGAATGGAACCAGATGCTGGACGAATACTTGTGGAAGGAGGGTTTTAAGTTTGTGAGGAGCGAAGCGGACCACAGCCTATATGTCCTCCATGAAGGGGACAAAGTCATATGGTTGGTAGTTTATGTTGACAACATGCTTGCAGCGTCAAACTCTCACAATTACCTGAACACGTTCAAGGCGCAACTCAGATGACGCTTCGATCTCTCAGACCTTGGGCCTGCCCAACACTTCCTTGGCATGCACATCATGCGCGACTGAGAGAAGAGACTCCTTGCAATCAGTCAGAAAGCCTACCTCGAGAAGATCCTCAACAATGCTGGCATGTCACTCTGCAACCCAGTTGGCACACCTATGACACCCGGAGTTGTCTTGCAAAAGGCCACACGGGCTCCAACCACCGAAGAGGCAGCTACCATCGCATCCATCCCATACTGTCATACCATTGGCAAACTCAATTATGCCATGCGTACTACATGCCCTGATATCACCTATTCAGTCTCATGTCTCTCCCAGTACATGGAGAACCCGAGCATTGATCACCATCACCAGCTCAAACATCTCCTTTGATACATCCGTGGGATGACGGACTTAATGCTTGTCTTTGGCTTCGTCAGACGAGGGTCTCATCGGCCACTCGGATTCAGACTATGCTGCAGATCGGGACGATAGCAAGTCCACCAGCGCGTATGTCTACCAGCTGTTTGGTGGACCCATTAGCTGGAAGTTGCAGAAACAGTCTGTTGTTGCCACATCGACTACAGAGGCGGAGTATATTGGTCTCTCGAACGCCTCCTGCAAGGCACTGTACCTAATCCAACTCCTACATGACTTCTGACTTGATCCCGACCTCTATGACCCTGCACTGTTGTATGGGGACAACCAGGCCGGTATCGCACTCTCAAAGAACCCAAAGTTCCACGAGAGAGCGAAACACATTCGTGTCCATTACCACCTCATTCGCAGCCTCATCAACTCCAAGAAGATTGAGCTGCAATACAAGTCCACCTCGCAGATGCTCGCGGACAGTCTGATGAAGGCGTTACCTCGTCCTGCGGGAATCCAACATTGGGAAAGCATGGGGCTCCATTCGCCTGGATGCATCGAGTGCTCTGACGAGCGGGAGTGTTGAGAGTTGATCCATCAGAGCACCTGACCCGGTTCCACTCTCATATTATGCCTGTCCCCCTTATTATGCCTGTCATGTCCTGTCACTTACCTAGTTACAATTATTTTCCTTCTTTCTCTCTACTTAAGACAGCTGGACCCTACAACTGCACCTCAGTCTTTCTTACCATTGACTGAGGTGTGTATAGCATTCTTACCCTTATGATACAAGTCACTCACTAACGTACTTCTATAGGCTCGCGCTATGTTAGGTTCGTACATTAGGAATATAGTCTTTCTTACCATTGACTGAGGCTCGCGCTATGTTAGCTCTCCCCTTCTGACAGTCCTTACATTAAATCCATTTGCCAGTGTGTCACTTGCATTTCATTATGGGATGATGCTTGACAAGGGAGGTGCCTCCAATTCAGACATGTAAGTTGCTAATCGTGTCTCATAGTATCAACCTGATCTGCTTGCAAGATCTGATGAGCAGCAAGCTCGGTATTGTACATTTTATAACGGTATTCTAGATATGATTCTGGTTTCTGTGCAACTCTTGATGAGATGTCGTACAATGAACTTAAACCTTATATCACAATGGTACATTTCTGCATATATGCGCATATATTCATGGATTTGTACAAGACTAATGACTACAAATAACCAGATTAACAGCGCCATGAGCTCACAACGATCCGACAACTTCGCATCCCTCAAACATCCGATGCTCGAGTATATTTTGATGAACTGTAACAGCGATACCCTGCAGCCTCCCATACCAAAGTCATCCTGTAAGTCCAACTGAGGCACGAATCATCCACGATTGGTGCGTGAGCTCTGCCCTCGGAAGTGGCTGGACAAATTTGATATTGATGTCGACTTGTAAGTTCTTGTTTGTATTTCAAGTTCTGGTCACTGACCGTCATATACTCAGAGGAATTCAGCGTCTTCAAGATGGGACTTGGCCTTTACTCTCAACTAATTGGCTGTCATTCCTATATGCAGCTGATGCCATCTACAACAGCGAGGACCCAAACATTGGCCTCTTTCGCAGGCATGCTGGTATCAGAGTATGTAGTATCTTGTCACCTTTCATGTGCTCACAATTTTCCTAGGCATTCCAGCACTTGTACCTAGGTCCTGCTGCTGCAGGATCAGAGGAACATAATGATGACGACAGCAAGCATGGTAGAAGCAAGTCCAAGGCTACCATGTATGGGCTTACAAAGGTAACACCGCAAGCATGGGCTTGGGCCATGTGTGTAGTGCGTGTCTGCTTTTATTTTTGACTGGTGTACTGATTCTCATACAGGACGTGGTTTTCGCTCTCGGCCTGCAACTCGTACATAGTGGGCATTGGGTCATTCAACCTAGAAGATTTCTTTTGGGCTATCCTTGAAACTCTCGATGATCCTGAGGATCCATGCGCAGTAGAGACAATGGCATGGATTAATGAGTATGTGTCTAGGCTAATATCAATGTCTACTAACACAAATTACAGACAAGTTTTCAGGAAACATGCAGCCAAGGCCATGACGGCTGCTGCAGATGACACCGATTCTGACCTTGTGAAAATGCGAGCGAAACGTGCTGCTTGTAAACAAGGTAACACTTTGACATCGGTAACAAACAATGTTGTGCACAGTACCACTACTTCTCCACCCTCAGTATCGGCAGCAGAATGCCCATCATCACCTGCACCACCACTATCTCCACCCAGACTCCCTTCGCAGGTTACACCTTCCACGTCATCACCACCACGCGCCTTGACACCACTATCTGACTCGGAATCAGTTCTCACCCTCCCCAGCTAAACAGCCACCTGCTATACCCACAGCCGTTCTTCCCAAGCCAGTGCCTGTTGTACACAAAAAAGCCAAGCCTGTCCCCAGACCAAAGGCCAAACCAGCACCCAAGCCACGATCCAACACTCACGGGTTCTGCGCATCTCTCTGCTGGTGCTATTCAGGTTGAAGAACCCACTAACGAGGCAGGTGATGCTGGTATTCCAGATGTGAATGCTCCCGTGCCTCCAAAGAAAAAGCCTGTGCCCCATCGTGGTAAAAAGGCTGCCTAGGTATTTTGAATCCTGGTCAGTTTGCCTATTCTGACTCTTGCTTTAATCACACAGGTTTGAACACTGTCACTTGTTGCATTCCACTTGGTCATCTCGCACCCATCATGCTGTACATTACACTCGCACTCACGACTGCTCCCGCACTTACAATATTTCGTTTCTTGCACCATCATTTTTGCTCTCATTGGACCCTTGCTCCTGCTTTTGGACTGGCGTTGGACTTGGTAGACACCCGTGTAGTTTTGCTACTTGTACTGCTTTGTATTGTATGATCATGAAATCCACTGGATTCCATTTGTTGCATTGCAGTGTGCTATCTGTCTGGTATGAGTCATGTAAGCTATGGACAGCCTGCTTGGAACTGGTAAGGCTGGATCAACTTGCAAGGCGCTTCAAGACTTTTTGAAATACATAATTCTGATGGCTTTTGACCAGCCTGGTGCCCATCTGACACGACAGAGAGGCCGCCCACAAGTCATGTTCAGTCTTGGCAAAGTTTGTCAGGCTGGGGGGATCTTGCCATGCCTGGGAAGGTCTTACCGGGCTGCGCCACTTTTGCTGATGCACCTGCCACAATTTAACTGGGTTCTGACACATTATCTGTCTCCTGGCCCTCAACAGTTACAGTAATACCCCCACCTGCTACAAGTCAACCGGATCTGGTGCGTTGTCTGTCTCCCCCCCACCTGCTGCAAATCAACTGCTGTGGTGTTCAAACTCAGGCTAGCCTTGCAGAACCCCTTTTGCTATAAAGGTCAGACCTCCTTAAGGCCACATCATATCCTCCCATTACCCCCCTGTAGAGCCTCAACTCATCCAACTCTCCCATTGTCACAGCGCATTATGTCCAACTCAGCTGATCCAAACCCATTGCCTCGGCCGCTTGCAGTTAACCAGGACCATCCTTTACCTGCTGTCTCAGTGTCATGCATGGTATGGAACTCATGCCATGACATGGATAGATAGGAAGTAACCACAGAGAGTACACTAAGGTGTACCTCATTGTATTATATGATTGGTTCCATTTTGACAGATTTACTTGTATATATATTTCCAGTATGATAGTTTTCATCTTTCTCCTTTTCTTTTCTTTTCTTTTCTGTGGTTTATTCAGCCACCAGTGAGCCACCAAGATGTGTTAGTAAGCATGTCATGTGATTGGCAATATTCTGCTTTGTAAGGATCCTGCATGATTTGTCATGTAGCTTCCATTTGTTTCCATTTGTTTCTATTTGTTTCAGGCTCATTCAGCCACAGAATCCCTCAGTGAGCCACCAGATGTGTTTGTAAGCATGTCATGTGATTGGCAATAATCTGATTTATAAGGATTTGTCATGCTTTGTCATGCTTTATCATGCTTTCATCATGCTTCATTATGATTTATCATGCTTTGTAATATTATGAACTTTATTTGTAAACTACTTTGTAAGCAGCAGATTCAGCACTGCCAAATGGGGTGGTTAGTAAGCCAGTGACTTACTAATGCTGTGATGAGTCATGCTTAGTAAAATGGCCTCCCAAAAGTTATAAAAGGAGCCCATTCTACACTGAGTAATATAACTTCCCACTTTCACTCTTCTCTCAAACTGTGAGAGTCCATAAGATTTAAAGTGCAGGCCACGAGTGCCTTGAAGTGAGATAAACATTGTATCAGAGATTAGTTATATACTACCTTACAGGGGTCGCTTATATAATAATCTATTTATATACTACTAGTTGTGTGCTACCTTTCAGGGGCTGAGTATACAACACCAGAACAGCTTTCATACTAAGGCTTTACATATTTAAGACAGACTTCATTACTTGTTGTATACTACCTTACAGGGGTTGAGTATACAACACCAGAACAGCTTTCTAACTAGGCTTCACATATTTAAGACAGACTCTCTCTTTCTCAGGAAGGAAGACATGAGAACATGACAAAGTTGAGACAGACTTTCATAGGTTGAGACACGACCTACAAGATTGAAACAGATCTTAGTATCAGAACATTAGGGAATCTACAAGTATTCCACCAGGGAACAACAAGAAGAGGACACATCAGTAAACCCTCCCAAGAACTCACATATTATCTGCCATGAAAACTAGAAAAGTCGTAGACCATGTACTTAAGGACTGGCAAGAAGTCTTATCCTGTATAGTTGTGTTGTCACTATACACAGTGTTGTACATAAGACCCTTAAGTAGTAAGACATCAGTCATATCACACTTCGGCCAAGTGTCCTGTCCCATCAGTACTGAGTCCTCCCATGTCCTGTCCATGTCCACCTATCTCCATTGGTGCATTTTAAGCTTATCTTACCATTACTGAATGAACAGCAGGCATTATTACATGTATTCCCACAGCTGCAGCACTCGCAAGCCTTATTATGTACATACTGACCCAAATACCCTGCATCTCACTACTACTCTCGCCTATGTGATTCCAGACATTCACGTAGTCAGATAAATGGGACTCAAGTCTCATACTATCTCTTACTTCCCTTCTCCAGACATACCCTACTACCGTCGTAGGAGTCACCTTAGATTAGCCTTTGATTTGTGCAATTGATCCCCCTTGCTCTTTATCTTCGAATGTGCCTTGACCACTCTAAGTGCGGGCTATCTAGGGTTTCTATACCTAGGCCTGTGTGAGATCTGGACCACTACCGGTAGTTTTGCCTCGGCAACCTATACCTAGTTTTACCTCATTATACCTAGTTATACCTAGACTCTCCTTACCTCAGCCTAACCTTACCTGTTGCCCCCTTCAGTATCAGACCTTTCTACTCATGTCAGGTACCTCGCATTGGGTGTACTGTCAGTACCCTCTTGCATCGGACACTCCAAACTCAGACTCGGACCTTCAGTCAGTTGGAACATCTCAGGTCTCAGATCATAACTCCTTCCCTTCTCTTCCCTTGCACTATTAGAAGGAAGTGCTTCAATAGCAGTCCCCTTGGGTTGATG